GGACACTAAACCTTTTAATTTATAGAATCTATAAGTTACTGAACGTAACTTACCTACCAAGTTATGAATGTGCAGATTCCATCTTAAGTTTTGATCAAATATAATACCTAAATATCTGGTGCTAGCTACTTCTTTAATAGTTATAGATTTCTTTACATTATTATTTTTGTTACCATCATCATATCTCTGAACTATTAATGGGTTAAGATTTGAATGACTTTTATAAATAGACAATTTCATAAACATAGTTTTTTCTTCGTTAAGAGTTAAGTTTCTTTTACATATACATTGATAGACTTTGTTTAAGCCAATAGTTGTTTTTTGATGAACCCCCTCCCATGACTTGTCTGAAAAGAGTAGACAAGTATCGTCTGCATAAGAGACAACTATCCCATCGAGACTTAAATCACTAATCAGGTTTATATATAATAAAATAAACATAGTTTTTTCTTCGTTAAGAGTTAAGTTTCTTTTACATAAACATTGATAGACTTTGTTTAAGCCAATAGTTGCTATTTGATGAACCCCCTCCCATGAATTGTCTGTAATGAGTAGACAAGTATCGTCTGCATAATAGACAACTATCCCATCGAGACTTAAATCACTAATCAGGTTTATATATAATAAAAATAAGATTGGACCTAAAACACTTCCCTGAGGGACTCCATATTCAATAAAGCCTTCATCACCTACTGTGTTATTTATTATTACCATTTGTTTACGGTTTTTTAGNTATCACCAACTGTGTTATTTATTATTACCATTTGTTTACGGTTTTTTAGGTAACTCTCAAACCATTTTCAACTAATATTTTTAATACCGAAAGTAGGCAAAATTTGAAATAATATTTTATGGTTAACGGTGTCAAAAGCCTTTTTTAAGTCTAAAAAAACAGTAATTACTTTATTGCTGCTATCCAACTCATTATATATAAATTGAGTTGTACTTAAAAGGGCATCATCAGTACTAATACCTGGTCTAAAACCATATTGATTTTTTGATAATAATTGATTACTCTCTAATTATTTTTTCAAGTATTTTTGCGAAATTATTGAGCAAGGATATTGGCCTATAATTATTTAAATTTTTGTGGTCTCCAGCTTTAAAAATCGGTTTGATCACTGCAATTTTAAGATTTCCTGGAAAAATACCTTGCTGTATACATAAGTTATATATATATATATACTAGTGGGTTTACTATAAGTTCAATTATACATTTTAATAATTTAATAGTGATCTTGTCTATACCTGCAGCTGTATCATCTTTACATTTATTTACTATGTTAATTACATCTATGTTTGATATTTTTTGTGAAAAAATACTATCAAAAGAATATTCTTTATCCACATTTGAA